TTTTATTTATGATAGAATTTTATGAACACATTATTCAAGTGAAAAAACGAAAATTAAATAATTTTAATGTTTATAAAGAAACAATTTCTCTAAAACGAAATTTTTATTAATTAATAATAAAATCATATTATATTGAACAATATAATCTTTTTTTAAATTTGTTTATTCAAGTAAATGTTTTAAAACTTATATTTGTATTAAATTTTTGAACTAAAGTTATTATTAGTTATAAGAATTATATTTTTTGTTTCTATAAAAATAATTGTAAGAAATGTGTAAAAATTAGCTTGGGTAAACAGCGTGCACTTTAAAGAGTAAACAACAATTGCGTTCTTGCAGGGTTGTCAAAAGCTTTCATGACGTCCAGTGCATAACGTCGTGTAGGCACCCCTTTAGGCATAGCTGATTTTAAAAAGAGTTTAAATTAGAAGCATATATAGCATACAATTTGAATATAATTTTTTTTTTTTTTTTTATTGCTCGTTTTTTAAATCTTTTAAAATAATTTTACGGTTACTTGTATCTTAAAAATCAACTAATTCATTTTCAACTGTAACAATATGACATCCGATAAGCGTTCTTGTCTCATAGGTACCTAAAATAATTCTTGATAAATTTCAATTTACTTAAAGATCGTTCATCCTGTACAACAGACACTGACACTATTAAAAATATGAATTAAGATATATACAAATTAAAAAAAAAAGACTTTTTGAAAGTTTTTTGTTGAGGAACTCAATGAGTTTCGTGAGTAGGAAGCAAAGACTCTTTCAAAACAAGGAGCATTTTTGATAGTTAATCGGTCATGATTGCTAGTTAGTTGTAGAATCGGCATATATATATATCTTCGGCATTGATTGTGAAGTTGACTAGAACAAAAAACTTCCTTTGTCGACAACTTCGATAATTTTATATTAAAAGGTTAGAAGTTTAACAATTTCGAATAATTTAAAAAAATTTACCAAGAACTTAGCTGATTTAGCATGTCAATGGTAAAGTAGCATGTAAGCGGTAAGGTAGCATGCTAAATCGAGCTAAAAAAAATCCTCTGTAGCCCGATCGGGGATAATAATTTTCCGTTGTAATTTTACTAATGTTTTAATAGTGCAGCAAACCAAGTATTTTTTTAACATAGTATATGTAACCGAGTATACATAGTATTTTTTTTAACATAGTATCTTAATGCTTAATAATAAAAACAGTATCTGAAAGCTTGAAAAGAGAAAATCCTCTCGATAATGGCAAAGTTTTTCACTTAGCCAGACTCAGCTAAAGAATGTGTAGAGATTCAACCTAAAGAATGCGCAAGATTCAACCGCATGCCCTCCAGCTAAATTAAAACTATGTTTGCTACAAGGAACATAAACGGATGATGGTTTCTACTGTAAAATTAGCGTTTGTTCATTAATATAACTTCTAGCCATATTTAAGACATTAATTGTAACTTTAGCCGTGGCAATCCTGCAAGTCATATCTTACTTTTATCAATACACCACAAATAATATTGGCAATATCAGCTCCTTTTTTTCTGCCTGTCTTTGATACAATGAAAGCACTTTTCACCTTCCAAAGTAAAAAACAATTATAATCTGTTCTATGTGTGACAGACCCGGCTTCCCATTGGTAATGACCGTAAAAGATTCTCTGACTACTCTTAAAATAGCACAATGTACTAATAAAGTACACTTATGTATGAACTTATTCTGTGAATCACATGAGTGGTAAAAACCTGCATCCAAGTTCCATCTTTTTGCTGATGAGCCACTTTTTCTTAATTGTTTTTTAACGTTTTGGTATGAGTTAAAATCTTTTCCAGAGGAGCTAAAAAAATGCAGTTTCTTTGTTCTCCTAAAGCAGAAGCTTGACATGTTATAATAGTGCAAGAATCAATGAAAAGATGTATTATTCATACAACGAAAATTAATTGGTCAGAATTATCGTTTATAAGACAAAAATTATTTGCCTAGTCAATAGTATAGTTTATCTCTAAACGCCATATTTCGAAATTAGAAAAACTATGTTGCATCCGGAATGAGACTTTGCTACCTCAAACTTTGAAGAAAAATTTTGATTGCAGAATCTCAGTATCATTAGTGAGATCAACAAAAGGCTTTCACGTGATATAACTTCTTTGGTGGATAGAGCTAGTGATATACTTTGGTTTAAACGCTCGGTTTCCTCTATTTGTCTTTGATTGCACAATTCCAGCAGATAAGACGTTGATCGCTAGCTAATCCATAAATTTTGCACTTAAATAGAGAGCAAGTGAAATATAGAAGTGAACTAATTGTTGTGCTCCAGACCATAAAATCTTTTTTATCTGTGGTTTCATTGGGCAGAGTCAGAAAAAGAACGTTTTTTGGTAAGAAAAACTTGATAATAAGTTCAAAAGAATAGTACCCAAAATAAATATTCTTAAAGATAAAGAAAATTGTTTCTCTATTCTAAAGAAAGAAAACAGTTTTTTAAGATTAAACAATAAATCATATTAATGAAGAAAATTAATGAATCATTAAATTTGATACCTAAATATATCCTTTAATGAATTAAATATAAAAAATTAAACAAAAGTTCAAATAAGCATTTATAGCTTTGAAGCAGATGAAAAACTTTGTTATAAATGTATTGATGTTAAAGTTCGTTATTAAAGATCGTTAAATAAACAATTAGCGAATAATAGTTATAAAAAAAAAAACTAAATATTATTTAACGTTGTTAAAATTACTTTAAATCTCTGATCTTTTAACTTTTCCACTCAAGACCTATAATATGATCTTGGTAAATTCATAACTTAAAAAATTATTTACGATAACCCTTTTAAACCGAATTTAAATAAAACCCGAATTTAAATTTTAAAATTTTAATTGAAAGAGAAATTTGGACTTTATATTGAGTTTTACCTAACTTCTTATGCATAAGCCAAACTAACCTGCATTTAAATAATATTTACAGAATGCAAGTACATTGATTTTGACAAACTACAGAAAATATTACGAGTTAGCCTTGAACTTTTTTCTTATAAATATATTTCTTTTATTGCAATATAGGATAGCTTAAGATTATGGCAATGTAGACAACTATTTTTACATTATTGCTGTTAAGATTTGTTTGTGTCCAAGTTACAAGTTGGAAAGCTGCAGAAAAGCTCTTTCTAAAGAAGCTGATGAGCCTGGAATGGGATGCATTTCGCTGAGAAAGGAAGCCAGCTTTGAGTATCGTGATGCTATGCTCTTTTACCATTCTAAAACATCAGTTTCTTTTTCTACCAATGATATTTTTCCAGTTGTGCTTGAATGTCGGAAGTCCCTGAATTAGCCAGAGTAGTATATTTTATTATTCAAATTTAAATGAAATTTAAATGAAATTTTGAAATTGTTACTGAATTGAACAGAAAATCGAATTTCTATTTCAAATTTGAAACCTAAGACAACTTTGTCTTTCATTAAACTCCGTAACCCAAATTTTAAAGATTATTCGTCGGTCCTTAAAACCTGTCAAGTGGGCACATTAAATTGTTTGAATGCGCATCGTTGTGATATGAATGTTAGCCATTATATTGTGTGAAACACGCCTAAGCTAACCACCTAAACTTTATTCAAAGTTAAGGTGGTTCTATGGTTAAAAAAAATAACTTCTGGATTTTAATGATAAATGTTTCCAAATAACTTTGAAAGAAAAGAACAATTTTTTTTAACAACAAATACACTTTAAAAAATTATAAAAAACTTTTTGTTTTGTACGCTCGAAATATATTTGAGTTTTGAACTTCAGTTGTACGCTCTAAACTTCAGTTGTACGCTCTAAATAAACTTGAGTTTTGAAAAACTTAAGTTTATCTAACATATCTTTCTATACTTTTTTACTTGTGAAGAAAAAAACTGAGTATCTCTCATCTCGTTCGATTTAATATAGGTAAATTTCAGATTTTAAATACTTTGAGTTTCATTTCAATTTTCAGAGTAATTGAATTTCGTTTCCAAATTTGATGCATATATTGTTTTTAGTTTTTAGCCTGATTGTCTATTATTGTTCATGTGGATTAAAAACCACTCTGCTAACTTAGTAAACTAGAATAAGTTTCCTTACGGATAAAAAATATCAACAAAGATTTATATGAAAAAATACTTCAAAAGAATAAAAAATATATCGTTTAATCAAGACGTCAAGCATTTTCAACTTAAAATCAAATAAAATTTCAACAAAAATTCTTCATAATATCAAGTAGTAGTAAACAAAAAATCTAAAAACTATATAAATGTTTTTTTTTTTTCTTGGTTTCTTTTTTTTTATTGATTAATAAAAAAAAATCGTCCATAAAAGATACCCGGTCCGGGTATCTTTTATGGACGATTGATAAGCTGGTTTATTAGCAATATGCCAATGTAGAGCAAACTTAAATATGCCATATGTATCTTTTCAGCTTTTGTTGTTCTAAGTTTCTTATCAGCTTTTATACTTCTTTTTGTAGTTCTTTTGTAGTTCATCTTATCAACTTTTGTAGTTCTAAGTTTCTGTTTACTCACACAGACACTGAATTTCATCCCGTTTTGGATGATTGATCTTTCTTATATAATTTCTTACCTTCTTTGTTTACATTAAATACTATTAATAATCAAAGTTAAGTTATAACAATAAGAATTTCTTTGAATTTATTTCTAAAATTGATTTTCTAAATTAAAAAAAAACAATATTTTAGATTACAAATAAAATCATCAAACTGCAAACAACATTGCGAAATGGTAATAATATACTTAATTATATAAATACTATTGTTGCCCCGATATGCCCCATTTATTATAAAAATATATAAAAAATATATAAAAATATATAAAAAGTCATTTTACTGAAATTAATACAACTCAAAAAGTTTAATTCCAAATTTTTTTTTTAAACCAGATTCTAAAAGAGGATAAAAAATACTGTCTGAAAAATATGAACTTTTTATAGATAACGCAAATTCGCAAGAGTTCAAGATAAATCTTTTGCGATACAGGATCGCT